TTTAATTCAATAAAAAATAAGAAAGAAATATATATTTGAATGATTATAAAAATAAATTAAAAAGTATATTAACAATTTTTTATCTTACAACAAATCTAATCGGATTTATGAATTAAATTCATTATACAAAGCCTTTTTAACAAAATTTGAAGAACGACTTTTAATAATTAATTTTTAAAAAATACGAGATAATAATATAAATAATATATAAAAACGTTTGACATATAGTAATTGATACCAAGGAACAAAGGGTTTTTATTTCTTCTTCTATAATTCAAACAAGTAAACGTTGACAATGGGTGTAAGTTTCAAGAGTAGAAGAAGTCGTGTAGTGTCTCCTTTTCGCTTTCTATCTGTTCCAACTCTTTAAAGCATTCTCGTGTTACTCTACTTATAGAAGGAACAATGACACGCAGCTAAGATTTCGAGGCCTTAACCCTTCCTCACCCTTCAGTTTTGACGGTGACCTTAATGTACTACGATGCGAGCCGCCAAGTTTTTCAAAATATTAAAAAATACAAAATTTAATTTAAAAGAAAGAAGAAAAAAACAAACAAATGTACTAAATTCGAAAAAAAAAAATCAATTTCGTATGTGTTCGTACGTATTAAATATATTATTCTTTATACGTGTACCATTGATTGAAATTATTTGGAATAACGAATACATCTCGTCAAGGTCAATCCGATAAAAATACAAATGATCCTAATAAGTATGATTTTTCGCACCAAATAAAGTACACACACCATTGCTTTCTATCCTAGGAATTTTTCTCGACCACATCCTGTGGACGTAATGACGTCACACATTCCACGATAAAACGAAAGGGAAGGCTTTTGCGGTTAGGGACGGCTTACCTTACAACTCGATCCTGTTTCTTCCTTATTTTTTTTATTTTTGATTTTGTTTTCTTTTGTTTTTTGTTTTTTCAATATTTTTCTAACATTATTTTCCTTCTCTGGTCTCTAGACTCGCGGTAAGTTTCTAATTTCTAAGATACTTTGAAATATTGTTAATATTTGTTTTTTGTGTGTATGTGTGTATAAAATAAATTTTAATTTAGAATTTCGATACTGAAAATTTGTCGAATTTTTGTTTTTTTTTAATCAAGTAACACACTCAAGTATTTTGTATAGAGAATGTTTGGTATTTAGTATCAAAATAAATAACATTTTAATATAATTTTTGTTTATATTAATAATATATTTAATATATAAAAATAAATTCATAATATATATATTTATTATATAGAATGTTTTTTTATTATTAATTTCAATATTAATTATTGTATTCAATTCAAGACAAATTTTTTAAAAATAACTAATATAATTGAGTTTCTTTTTGTTTTAACGCGAGAGAAAATAATATACGTATAGAAATAATCGATAGAAAAGCATATGTGGTTTTAAAGAATGAGAACTCTCGAGTATAAAAATCCTAGGATCAAGCGCAGAGGGATTCCAGGAAGAACCAGAAGGACGTCTTCTTTTCGTTTGCGATAGAAAGAGGAAGAGAGAAAGAACGAAGAACGAAGAAGAAGAGGAATAAAAAGAAATAAAAAAAAAAAAAAAGAGAAAAAAGAAATATTGGTTGCGTTCGAGGAGAGTCTGGTTTTGTTGATCCTTCGCCGCCGGCTTTAAAATATTCTCTATTCATGAAGCATTCTACTTTCGTGCAAAAAATGGTCGGCGAATCTTTTGTAATAGCAAACGTTGACACAGAAATAAAATAACATTATACGTATTTTTAAGAGAGAGATAGAAAAAGATATGAATACAAAATTAGGAATAATAATAATAGTAATAGTAATAATAACGATACGAAACTATCTAACTTCGAAAGATATAAAAAAAAAAAAAAAAGAAAAAGATGTACAATATTATACAAATATTACATTTTGAAACTATTATAATATAGTATAATATTATTAAATATGTAATATATTATGCAATGGTAGAAAAAAAAATATATATATAAAAATTTCATATTCATGTTTAAATTAATATTGTATTTCACGGAATCCTATAATATATTATTCTACATCTACTAAAAGCATTACAATAAACAATATATGTTTTCGAAATAATTTTCTTTTTTTATTATTTATACTAGTTCAAATTGAATAAAAAAAAAAAAGAAAAAAAACCGTGGTCCTGTCTTAGCTTTGAATATTCAATGTTGCATTACGATTTGAAGATAAAATAACTTTCTGACGCTATCATGCACTTAATCATTCATTGTCACATGATTGAATTAATTATAATAGAACGTAAATTTCCAGCGTAAATTTAATCTCATAGTCTGTCTCTCTATCACTCTCTCTCTCTCTTTTCTATAACATCTTAATCGATATTGTTCTATCTACCCTCTTTAATTTGCGAAAAAAGCCTTAAAAAATGTATATGTTTGAATCAGTGATCTTTGAACTGTATATTCCACATGTACTATGTATTTTAATTATTTATATTAATTCTTAACTCTTTGGACAAAAGATTGGCTATTAATAATTAAACAAATAACTAAAATATAACTATAATATTATTTGTTAAAAAAAAAATATATATATATTTGTACTACATACGAAACAATACATACACATACATATATATATATACATACAAATAATAAAATCGAGGTATTTAATACTTGAAACCGATCGACAAAAAAAAATGTCTTATAGGAAAGCTCGTCAACGTCACGGATAAATATAACTTCTGTCGTAACACACCGAGAAGCCTGTGAAGTATATAATAATAATAATAATAATAAAAATAATAATAAATAAAACTAGGGACATTTAAGCCCAGTGGTCCGTGTTAATGGGTGGGTTCAAGTTCAAAGTAAAACATCGTATTTGATTCTCTCACTTTCTTTCTTCCCTTCTTGTTTTAACTTTTGTTAACTTGAACGAACACACGAAAGAAAAAGAAGGAAAAATAAGAAGAAGAAGAAGAAGAAAAGAGAAAAAGTAAATAAAACAAATTACGAAGAACGGAGCTGGGTAATGATTCTAACAAGTAACAGGGATATAAGAATAAAAAGAGAAAGAAAATTGAAAGTAACAACTCTTCGTGCGTTTATAATAAAATGTACGATTTGAACGATGAGGTAATCCCTTGGGACACCGATGACGTCACCGTCTACACCTGCCATCATCAAATACGCGTGCGTTACACAGACGAGGAAAAAGAAAGGAACGAATGAGAAAGATAAAGACAACCAAAAAAAAGAAATAAGAGGAAGAAGAAGGTCAGCAACGAGTCAGTCAGGCCCCCTCCAACCCCCTTTCCTCCCCCACTCACCCTCATCCAAAAGAGTTGCAGCGTAAATTCTTTCCACTGGAATGGATACGAAGGAAGAAGAAGAAGAAGAAGAAGGAAGAATCGTCTCGTAGGTTCGAGAAGAACGACAAAAAAAAAAACAAAAAAAAGAAGAAAAATTCGAATAATATATACAAAAACATATGTGATTTTTTTATTCGCAATGAAAGATCGAAGATCGAGGATCGTAATGTAGATCGACATGAGGACACACGTGTTACTCTCAAACGCAATCACGATCACGAACGCGTTAATTACAACGCCGTCATTGATTCGACGAGCTCGATGAACTCATAAGAGTTTCTCTATCTCTGTCTCTCTCATTCTCATTTCTCTTCTCTTCTCTTCTCTTTTACTGGCTTGAAAGCAAGAGATCGATCTTTTACGTATATACACATATATGAGGATATATATATGTATGTATGTATGTTTCTAAGTATGTACGAGATAAATCAAAGCTCTCCTTTGCTTCCCCAACATTTTTTTTTTTCCTTTTATTTTTTTCCCCCCCGTAAAAAAGAACATTGTATCGAGCGAATTTGATAACGAATATAAAATATTTTTATTTTTTGTTTTATTTTTTTTTCTTTTTGTTTTATTCCTTTCGAGAAAATTTCGATTACTGTTTTGAATTTTTTCTGTTTTTTTTGTTTATTCTTTTTATGGACTTATATTATTCTTACATATTTTATTTATTTATTTATATATTTATTTATGTGTGTGTGTGCATATGCGTACAAATTATAAATCGTTTGTGTTCAATCTTTTGTTTTGTTTGTTTTTGTTTTTTTTTTATTTCTCTTTCATTACTACGAACACAATTTCTATAATAAAAATATATAAAATATGAAATTTAATTTTCTATCGAAAAAAATTCTATTACTATTTTTTTTTCCTTTAACTTTATAACGCGTATACGAATTAACATTTATTCGTGATGTACATTTTATTGTTACAATAAGAAAAAAAGAAAATAAAAAAGAAATTATACAAAGAAAAAACAAAATAAAAACAACATAAAATAAATCACTTTCTATGGATTTTTTTTCTTTTGCTGACTTATTCGATGAACATAAATATATATATGATTTTTACATTCTTTTTATCTACGTGAAACATATCGAAGCTCCTGTTACATTGACAATTTTGTTAACATTACAATGGACTACAGAAAATTATACAAATAAAAAAAAACCTTTATTACAAAAAATACAAAATTAAATAAATTATTAATTATCTTGTTTTTTAGCTTGTTTGTTGTTTTGACTCGTTCGATGAACAATAATCTTTACGTATATAAATATCTAATAACGGTTAAGAAAAAAAAAAAAGAAAAGAAACACCGAATAGTATTTTAAACGAGACTTACTTAATCTTAATCTCATTTAACTTATACATATAAAGAGGTACGTATATTATGCACATACTATAATACATACTAATGAAATTCTTATCTATGTTCTAAAGATAAATTTAACGCCCAGATTATTCGTTACCAAGCAAAAGAAATTGTGAATTGTGTTGTCGATAAAACAGAAATCTATGAAAAGACGATTTTTTCTTTTTTTTTTTATATTCGAACGAAAAAATGATCGACGAATAGAAGGAAATTTTGTTGATTGGTCGAGAGCTTGTGATTCTCGTAGAATCTTCTGAAATGACGTCATACTCTAACAACGTACTCATCGTCCCACACACATATCACTCTTTACCAATGACAGGAATGAAAAAAATTTCTTCGAAAATTTCTATCTTCTGACTGTGTAAGACGAGAAATATGACTATGACGACGACAACGACAACGATAACGAGAAGAGAGATGATTTAAATAAAAATGAAATAAGCATTAGACAATATTCTATACAAATAATGATTACTAATATTAATCATAAGGATTATAATAATTAATGACAAACTTTGGATATGATATTGAAGCTACTGTTTTTTTTTTCTTTTTTTTTTAACGCGATAACGAGCGGATGACTAATTTTAAGCAATTATGGTTGTGTTCTGAATAATTTTATTCCATGGTATAGAATGATGAATTAGTTTCTGGCGCCACAGTGTAGAATATATTTATCCTTGCGAACGCGAAGCAGTGTCTTCGCATACTTAATTACCGGTAAAATTCTTTTCTTCGTTTATAAAGAGGTCAAACTATTACGTCATAGTTAAAAATCATTCAACGCGCGTATGTGTGTGTGTATGTATGTGTATGATTGATTTCGAAATTTTACCATCTTTGATTAAAATCGAACAGATGAATTATAGATGTACATTCGAAAATAAGATTTGAACGTTTAGATAAAACGTATATATGTATATATATATGTATATGAATAAATATCAAGGGCAAGAAGTGAACGTGATGTTCTTGCTACTGCTGTTGCTATTGCTACCGCTGATGACGATGACGTAATAAAGTGGTTTTGATATGATAACAAATTATGTCGGTATTACGTGTCTAAACGACGATGATCAAGAAATCCAAGCAAAATATGTGTATGTATATGTTTCGTGCATACGATACAATAATAATTTTATATGTACATATATATATGATAAGTCACATAAGTATTCGTACTGTTACTGTCAGTGTTAAACAATTAATATTTATTTATATTGTAATATATTATTCAAATTCTTATAGAGACAGAAACATATGTTAAGATTATTCTATTTTTCAATTTTATTATAAGAAAAGTATTTTAAAATAAGACTAATTTTTCATTTGACGTTAATGATAACAAAATTGATTTCACAAGAGTTTACAATCGTTTACAACGCGTTATAAGAGATATTAAGAAGTATCACTATTAAGTATTAGAAAAATAATAATAATAATTATATTTGTTATTATATATCGCGTGTATATAGGTGTGCAACTACTATAGTGAAATCAATTTAATTATCATTTATATCAATTTAAAATACTTCTGTGACTCATTGTAGAAATATTGTTTGAATTGTTTGTATAATGTTATCTGTTTGTATAGCTATCTATTAATGTAATGAATTATTTGTTAATCATTTAAATATTCATAATAATGATTATAAAAAAATATTAATGACAGATCAAACCCCAATCAATGAAAATGAGAAAATCTATCAGACAATATTTATATATTAAAATATAAAATAATAATATAAAAAAAAAAAAAAAAAAAGAAACGAACGAACGAAGAAACATACCAAATGTGTAGTATAACGTCGTTGAAAAATAATTGTTCTTTTTTTAAACATCGACTCACGCACGCAGAGATAAGGAAAGAATTTGATTAATCACACAAAAACACCTCTCCAAGCACCGATAGTAATAAAACAAAAAAATCACTTATAATAATTTCGATACAACTTAAATATATATTTCTATAATATGTGGTTGTGTTCTGCTGACAGAGACGCGTCGTCGTCGTCTGTACGTTTATCAAATCATAATATCAATGTTTTAAATCGAATAGACCGAGTGTATGTAAACCGAGAGAATAAATTCCGAGCTATTAAATTCGCGTTACTCAACGCGAACTAATTGCTCGATTAACGATCACAAACGATATTTACATTTAAAATAATAACGAACGATAGATAATTGTTTACGTATGTAATAGAAATGATCAGTAAGAAAATAAGTAACTTGGTTTACATTGAAATCATAACATTTGAAAATACGATAATCTCTATGTGTATATTTACATATTACTTTTGTTTTCAAACTAACACACATACACACTCATATGCGCGCGAATCGAATAGAAAGAGAAAGATAGAGAGAGAGGAGGGGAAAAAGGAAAAGATAGATAAATATGTTTATACATTTATAAAAATTATTAATGATTTGTATAACATTATCATTGAAATATTATACGAAGAATAATAAGGGACAGATCAATCAATGTTTTCGAATGTTCCATCTTCCGAAAGAGATGCACCACGCGGTGCGTTCTCGCGTGTGCGTGGCGGGCGCGCGCCTGCGTATTCGACGAACAACAGAACAATAACACAACACCAGTGCACGTATACATGGTTAAACGTAAAGAGAGAGTGAGAGAGAAAGAGAGAGTGAAAGAGAGAATACGGAAATATTCCACGCGCTTGCGTTGAAAGGATTCGTGAACGAATGATCTGGCGGCGTCTGTGTGTAAGGAACACATTATCGGTTGATTCTAACAGTAGGGTACGTTAAATTAAAGATTATATCTAAAATTACATAATATATATATATATATATATATTAATAACAGTGTAATAAATCACTCACCGATACTGACGATACGTATACCCTCATCCTCCAAAAATTTTAAAGCGACTGAGACATTTTCCAATTTCTGGGATCGAAAGGTAGGTCTTTGATTATGTTTGGGTAATCGTTTTTGGGATAGCACCTCGATAAGCCCGACCAATTTGAGACCGTCCGAAAGATCGCATTCGAGGTCGTCTATGTTCTTGTTGATGGCCTTGAGATGTTCGTTTGCCCATCTCGTAAAGGTGTTCTGTTGTATACGCTTCCACTGTGCATCCTCAGCCAATTCACGTTCAACCATCTCGCACTCTTCCTCCTCGGAGTTCTCGCACTTGACTGACTTATCATTCTGATTCATTTTATCGGCCGGCTCTCTGTTGCTGATGGTGGTAGTGGTGGTGGTGATGGTGATGGTGATGGTGGTGGTAACCGGGCACCCTGTTAACAGGCAGTAGTCATGGTGGGGATTGGAATGCTAACGCTACCTGACTCTCATCTATATACACATATATGTTTACATATATATATGTGTATATATCTACGTGTATGTATATATGTATGGAATACACGTATTTACTTGTTAAGTAGTGTGTATCGAAGAACCGCTCGTTCAATGTGTAGTAGGAACGTCAGTTCTCCGAGGAATATACCGACGGTGTTTCGCGGATCAGCTGAATAAACTCAGAGTTGTGTGTGCGCGCGCAATCTGTCGAGTAATCCTGGACCTCGCTGGAATTGTGACCCACGTCTCCTCCCTTACCCTCTTCTTCCACTACCTCGGTTCTATCTTATACACACTCCCGTTTACTATCGGAATCTTCTCCTTTCCGACGACGACGACAACGGAGACCAGTTTTCAAATACGACGATACGAGTCTTTTTTTCTTCTCTGAAACTTAAAACATTTTATTTATCATTAGCGATATAGGATATTTAGGACACACGTGTATTTGTATATACGTGCATGAATAAACGTGCGTTTATGTGCGCGTACGCAAAACTGAGGTCAGGGTTGAATTGGTGAATCAGTTTTTTTTCTTTTTCTTTTACAATTGCAATATAGAAAGTCTCTCTCTCTTTCTCTCTCTTTCTGATCTCTGATCTGTATCATTGTGCTGTTGCAATTTTATATTTCAATTTTTGTTGTTGTTGTTTTTTTGACGTTCATTAATTTATTATATTTTCGATTTGTACGATTATCGATGTCATTAATAAATATCATTTTATTCGAATCTCTCGTCGTTGGGTGAAAAGAAAAAAATATACTCTAAAAATGATATTCCAATCGATTTCGATAAATAATAATTGGATACCATTCGAATCCATGACATCAAGATGCAAATCTTGGTTTGACTTAGAATGCCCCATCCGCTAAGGCTCAGTGCCAAGATATTTTTGGGATATGAAGATATATTCGATTTTTTCTCAAGGTCTAATATTACGAGCTAAGGGTAAACTTTGTAATCATTCTTCTTCGAAAACACAAATCAACGATGAAACTTTTCGCTAATCTCGGAGTATCTTTTATTAAATTAATGATACATGCTCTTATGATTAGTCATAATATTTGTGAAACCGATAATAAGAAAATAATTTATTTTAATTTAAATGATTAGGAACATTAAGTTCGAATTATAATTCTCAATGGTTCATTAACTCGTTTACTTTGTTTTATGTACTTTTATATCGATCATTTCAAAATCACGTTTGAAGTAATTAAACTTTAACGTTGGTTAGACGCTTAACCACGAATGCGCTTAATCATTGCATACGAAGAATTGAATTTTCAAATACGAATGTTAAGAGAGTTAGAAAGTACACTTATCCAATAATAGCGTTGTTTAAAAATAGACACGGTGATTCTTCGTTCTTTTTTTATTTTTAACAATGGATCATATATTCGTAGAAACTACTGGTAGAAAAAAATAATCGCGAACGGGTAAACAAAAATATTTTCAACGAGATACAGGTGAGTAAAAAATCTTACCAAAAAAATATATCAAACAATAAATAATTCTATAATATATATTATAGAATAAAGAATCTAAAAGATTATGATTAAAGAAACTGACAAATCTTACCGCCAAAAAATATTTGGTAATTCTTCGCGGGAATCGTATTTAAAATTCACAATCTAAAAAGAGAGAGAGAGAGAGAGAAAAAAAGTGAAAGATAAAGAGAGAAAATTTTGACAGAATGAAAATAACATTCGCACGGCACTTGACTTGATTAAACGCACTTAACAAATTGTCATAATTATAATAATAAAATTCTATTAGTCTCTCTCTCTCTCTCTCTAACTATCTATCTTTTTCTTTCTCTATCACATCAGATAAATGCAAAAATGAATTTAAAACGTACACGCACATTAACTACACATACACACAGAAATGCACACGCGTTGCTATAAATCCACTTATTATATTTACATGTGTAAAAATAAAAAATATCTACTCTTATTTACATATAGATACAATAATTATTCTCCGACGTATTACCAAGAAAGAAATTGAAAAAAGCAAAAGTAAGTAAAATAATAAGTAAATAAGCGAGTAAGCGTGTGAGCAAATAAGCGATTAAATAAATAGCTAACTAAAAAATTGAATGAATGAATGAATAAATAAGTAAGGAAGTAAAGAGGTATCCCTGTGTGTCGTACGTTTCGAGCGTTAATCTTTTCGCGGTGGCTTACAGCGGTTTACTGACGTTTACTGACGCCGAATCGGGAAAGAGAAGACATCGAAGGTAGTTACTCCGCACGTTCTAAGGTTCTCCAAGAATAGTTTGCGGTCCCTCGCCTTCGGCATCCTCGGCCCTCACTGAGGGGTGAGGGGCTGTTCTATATATACACGCGTGAATCTCTTCTTCCTCTAATTCTCCTCCTCCTACACCTCTCCCACCACCACCCACCCCCTTTTCCTTCTTTTCTTTTTCCTCCCCTTCTTCTTCTTTTTCTTTTTTCTTCTTCTTATATTTCTTTTATTCTTACAACTCTACCTTTTTCGACTATCTCTTCCCCTTTCACCTAATCTTATCGTCCCTGTATATGCGTAAGTAAGTATTTATATGTTCGAAGAAACGTAGAATGAAGATTGAAGAAAGGGGAGGAGAATTGTTCCATAACATCGGTGGTGAGAAATATCGTTGCAAGAGTCGATGACTGTGTTCTCTCTTACGTAGATTGTGTTGCGTATCGTATGACTCCTTTGGTGAAGATTTCAACTGTGAAATAATTTAATAGAATTTTATTCATCAAAATAAGTATTTTCTCGTGTATCGAAGAAATAATTGTATTACAAATAACAATTTATTTTTATGAAAGAAAAACAATTTTTGTTTATTTCATTTTACAAAATATTTATTCGATAATATATTCAATATATTATGTAATATTAATTATTTAATAATATTAATAATATTATAAATATATGTATTATATATTTTTATTCCAATTCTTTGGCTATATTATTTCAAACAATTAAAATATAAATAATGCGTTCTTAAAAAAAGTCGCACATGTATTGTTCTTTTTTTATTTTATTGTTTATGTGTTAGCAAAATTTGATAAAGAAAAAAAGTAAGCATCTAGTATATTTCTTTTTTTTACTGTGTAAAGATCATTAAATGCAGCTTTGACCTATTAACACGTATCAACTAGAATATATTGTGTATATACATACGTATATATACATATATATCTAATACGTGAGTAGGTAAGATAAGGAATGTCTTTGGGTGTAGTTTTAAAACTGTACGCCATATTTGGACTTGCTGTTGGAAGCAAGTGAACGCCGAAGGTATATACGTAAATACGTACTCATGCAAGTTTTAAACTCATCGAGAGTCTTGTAAACCATACAAGGACGAAGAACGATCTACACAGTTTTATCGCCTTGTTCTTTCGTAATTACCTGCCTTAAATTGACTCTTTTTTATATAAACGATAAGACTTTCCAATTTGGCGACGTTCACCAATAATTGTGTCCAAAATACATAATCAATATCAAAATAAAGAATAATTAAAACTCTTTGATTATATAAAATTATTAATTAACTTACCTCTATCATTTCTTTCCCTTTTTTTATGTTGGGGAGATACATTCGAATGTTTTTGAAAACTTTAAAAGTTGCTTCAAATATTTTGCGAAAATTTTCGCGGCTTCTCGTATGATTCGAAATTTTACTTCACTGAAAATTCTGTAGATGGCCAGAGAAGCGCATTGAGGTTCATCACAATGAATGAATAATCGGTCTTTTAGGATTTTTAAATCTCAATCTTTTGATTTTATTATTTTATTCCTGAAAAGAAAATTATTTTTCTATGATATATAAATATAAAATATTTTCATACACGCACACACTCACACGCGCATATATATGAAATCAATTATTACGATGTTCATAAGATATTGATTTACACTTCGAAACTTGTAAAACACTAATTCAAATATCTTCTGAACATTTTCGCGCGTTCTTATACGCTTCGCAAATTCATTTTTCTGAAAACTCTACAAATAACGTAATGAAGTATAAAAAAATTTACAATAATCGATTTTTAAAAAAATATATCTCGTTTTCGATGTTATAATGATTCTTAAAAAAAAATAATCTTACGATATATTTATACCATATATTTTTATACACACACGTACACATATTATATATTTTAATTATTTTATTTATAAAAAATTGACGCACGTTTCGAACATTGCAAAACAATAATTTAAAATCATTTGAATATTTTCGCGACTTCCGTACACTTTACAAATTTGTTTCTTCGAAAATACTGCAGATGGCGCAGAGAAGCGTATAAACGTTTATCATGACAAAGTAATCATTTTCTTGGAACTTCATTCTTAATTTTATTGATTTGTAAAAATGAAATAATCATACAATTATATATATATAGCATATTTTTATACACATGCACACACATGTATCTATCAATTATTACATTGTTTATAGAAAATGGATGCTTCTATAACAAATCGATCATAGAATTGAACAAAGAAACGAATAAAAAATGGATAATAAAATAATAAATGAATCAAATTAGCCAAAGGAAATTGAATGGTACTATAGTTAGTATAAAAATTGGACTTGTATGAAATCACTTCCGGTTAGTCGCAAATCGATTCAATCGTGCAACCTCATTTTTAGTAAGATCCTTTGTTTCCAACTTCATTTGACCAAATCGATACAGAGAAACACCCAACACATGTACACATACATACACGCATTATAGTTGGAACATAGAACGTTGTTTCTGAGAAAATGAAAATTCAACATTTCAAAAAACAAATGTAAAAAGAATTTATCGACTTACCTCGATTAATCATTTTTCGCAATCCTTCAATAAAACTTAAAACCCCACAGAAGAAAAATAATAGTTTCTTTCTCGAAGTTTACGAACACACCAAAAATCAGAACTGCTTTACCGACTGTTCGGCTGGCAACACGTCGTTCGAGAGGGACGTATCAATGGAGAGAGATAGATCGGTAAGATAGAAAGAGAGAAACACAAGGTGAGAAAGAGAGAGAGAACATAGACGTGACATTAGCAAAAGCGAATGAAAGTGCAAGAATTTGTAATCGCTGAAAGTAATAACGAATTTACAAGAAGCAACGTAAATAGATTTGTTGTAGATGTGAATTGACGTATAATAAGGTACGTGGTTGAACCTATAATAGATTTCTTTTTGTCGAAGCATTGTCAAGAAGAAAGAAAGAAAGAAAGAAAGGAACGGTGGAGGGAAGAAAGGAAGGAAGGAAGGAAGGAAGGGTGAGAGAGGAGAGGAAAGGAAGGTTTAGGAGAATAATAAGCGTATCGTCATTGAAGAAAGGAGAAAATAACAAAGGGAAAGGAAAATAAAGGAATAAACGAAGAAAAAAAGTAAGAAGAAGAAGAAGAAGCCAAAGGGAAATAGAGAAGATAGATAGAAAGATATAGAGAAAAAAAAGAAAGAAAGGAAAAAATAAAGAAGGAGAGAGAGAGAGAGAGAGAGAGAAAGAGAGAGAGAAAGGAAAGATCGTTGGTGAAGGGGGCGCTTGTGTAGAGTGGTCGTGCGTCTGCTGCTGGTGTGGTGGTAGTGCGCGCGTTCTAGGCCCCAGTAAAATAATCGGTGAAAAAGTAAAAGAATAAGTGTTAAGAAGAAAAGTCAGTCGGCCGGGTTGATAAGGACAAATCGAGGGGCATAATACGGCGATTAGTGAGGTCCGATGTCTAGTGCTGAGGTGGTGGAGAGTTCCGTTGACCCCCCAGCCAAGAAGCCACGCTTTGCTGCCACAACGGGAGGTGCCGACGACTCCAAGACAATCGCAGACATGGCGAAGAATGGCTCGACGTCATCCCGGGCTCCCGCCGAAATCGACGAGAGCCTTTATTCCAGGCAGCTTTACGTCCTCGGACACGATGCCATGAGACGTATGGCAACCTCCGATGTCCTCATTTCCGGATTGGGTGGTCTTGGTGTTGAGGTAGCTAAAAATGTTATCCTTGGGGGTGTCAAATCAGTCACCTTGCACGACAATGCCGTTTGTCAACTCTCAGATCTTGGGTCACAATTTTATCTTACCAAAGAAGATATCGGTAAGTAGAAATAGTAGTTTCTATGCTAATCGTTCATATTAGATTTTGTTAACGTAGAATGGATGATTTAATTAAGTCGTTACGACTTAAGAATGAGATCTTAAGTTCTTTTTATCTAACTATAATTATCATTTCTAGGTAAAAATCGGGCTGCTGCTTGTTGTCAACGTCTTTCAGAACTTAACAACTATGTACCAACTTCATATCATTGCGGACCTTTAACTGAATCTTTTATCAAGAAATTTAGAGTCATCGTATTGTCAGAGACTCCGCTTTCAGAACAATTGCGTATCTCTCAGATTACTCATGCCAATGATATAGCGCTTATTATTGCCGATACCCGTGGTCTGTTTTCTCAGGTTTTCTGCGATTTTGGTCAGTCGTTCACTGTCGTAGACACCAATGGCGAACCACCTGTTAGTGCTATGATTGCTAGTATTTCTAAGGATTCAGAAGGAGTTATTACATGTTTAGATGATACTCGTCATGGTATGGAAGATGGCGATTATGTAACATTCTCAGAAATTCAAGGCATGAATGAGCTTAACGGTTGCGAACCTAAAAAGATCAAAGTACTTGGACCATATACTTTTAGTATTGGGGATACTTCTACTTATTCTGAGTATATAAGAGGTGGGATCGTAACGCAAGTTAAGGTACCAAAAACATTGCATTTTCTACCGCTGGATGAAGCTTTGAAAAAACCTGAATTTTTAGTAACCGATTATGGAAAATTCGATTATCCCAAACAATTGCATTTAGCATTTAAAGCTTTAGATCGTTATCGAGAAAGCGAAGAAAGATTGCCTAAACCATGGAATGAAGAAGATGCTGATGCATTTGTAGGTATCGCTGAAAATATTAAAAAAGAAACTGAAGATGACATCGAGATTAATACAGATTTATTGAAAACGTTTGCTAAAATCTCTTCCGGTGATTTAAATCCTATGAATGCTACAATAGGTGGTGTCGTAGCTCAAGAAGTAATGAAAGCTTGTACTGGCAAATTCCATCCCATATATCAATGGTTGTACTTCGATGCAATCGAATGTCTGCCTAAAGAAGGACCTAAGGAAAAAGATTGTAGTCCACTTGGTACTCGTTATGATCGGCAAATAGCTGTTTTTGGAAGACCATTTCAATCCAAGATCGGTAGTTTAAAATATTTTGTTGTTGGAGCAGGTGCTATTGGTTGTGAGCTATTGAAGAATTTTGCTATGATAGGAGTTGGATCAGAAAATGGTTATGTTACTGTAACAGATATGGATTTAATAGAAAAATCCAATTTAAATAGACAATTTTTGTTCAGACCATCCGATGTTCAAACATCTAAGTCATCTACAGCAGCGAGAGTTATTAAAGGAATGAATCCTGACATGAAAGTTATCGCTCATGAAAATAGAGTATGTGCTGAAACTGAAAAGATATACAATGATGATTTCTTCGAAGATCTCGATGGAGTTGCTAATGCTTTAGATAATGTTAATGCACGCATTTATATGGATCGTCGATGTGTCTATTATCGTAAATCTTTACTAGAATCTGGTACCTTAGGTACAAAAGGTAATACTCAAGTGGTTGTCCCATTTTTAACCGAATCATATAGTTCTTCGCAAGATCCGCCAGAAAAAAGTATACCAATTTGTACTTTAAAGAATTTTCCTAATGCTATAGAACATACTCTACAGTGGGCTAGAGATTATTTCGAAGGTTTATTCAGACAAGCTGCAGAAAATGCAGCTCAATATATTTCAGATCCTCAATTTGTAGAGAGAACCTTAAAACTGCCTGGTACGCAACCATTAGAAGTACTAGAATCTGTTAAAACTGCATTAGTTGATGAAAGACCTAAAACATTTGCTGATTGTGTCGCATGGGCTCGTTGTCATTGGCAAGAGCAATATAGTAATCAAATCAGACAATTACTATTTAATTTTCCACCTGATCAAGTAACATCCAGTGGACAATTGTTTTGGTCTGGACCAAAACGTTGTCCCGATCCACTGGTCTTTGATGTTAACAATACTTTGCATATGGATTATATCATCGCTGCTGCTAATTTAAAGGCAAAGGTCTATGGAATTAAAACTAATCGGGATCGTGAAGAAATTACTAAAATAGTTTCCACTGTTCAAGTACCGGAGTTTACTCCAAAGTCAGGCGTTAAAATAGCTGAAACAGATACTCAGGTTCAAGTATCTAATGGAATGGGTCAAGTATCAAGTGGAAATCTCGATCACGAAAGGCTAAGTCAGTTGCAAGAAGAATTACCAAAAGTTAGTGAACTTAATGGATTGGTAATACATCCTCAAGATTTTGAAAAAGATGACGATTCGAATTTCCATATAGACTTCATAGTAGCTGCATCTAATTTACGTGCTACTAATTACAAAATTGCACCTGCGGATAGGCATAAGAGTAAGCTCATAGCTGGAAAGATTATTCCAGCTATAGCCACAACTACATCTGTAGTAGCTGGATTGGTGTGTCTAGAGTTATACAAATTAACCCGAGGTGTTAGAGACTTATCTGTTTATAAAAATGGTTTTGTTAATCTGGCCTTACCATTCTTTGGATTCTCTGAACCAATTTCGGCACCTAAATTAAAATATTACGACACGGAATGGACATTATGGGATCGTTTCGAAGTTAAGGGAGAACTAACGTTAAAAGAATTTTTAAATTACTTCAAAAATATTCATAACCTCGAAGTAACCATGCTATCCCAAGGAGTATGTATGTTGTATTCGTTTTTTATGCCAAGACCAAAATGCGAAGAGCGTATGGGCCTACTTATGTCCGAGGTTGTGAAAAAAGTATCGAAGAAAAAATTGGAACCGCACGTAAAAGCATTAGTATTTGAACTCTGCTGTAACGATGCAGAAGGAAACGATGTCGAAGTCCCATACGTACGTTATACCTTAGCCTGACTCTCTTTGAATATTTATCAGTAAAACAGAAAAAAGAAAACATAATGTCTACTTAATTGACTTAGCCTTAGTGATTTTTACAAATTTCTATTTTACAATGCAGATACTGGAGGTAATTGATTTTTGTCTTTGTATAAGATGTAAGGTTCTTCATAAAAAATAGGAATACAAGTTTATTTCTTTTGTCAGCGCTTATTGGTAGCATTTTCAGTGCTTGAATGTATCTTACTTAGACGATCCCCCCCTTTGATAAGATTACCACTGGTTTAAACCAACAGAATTATAAATTTGGAGATCGTGCTTTTTATTGTTATATTTTTCTACTATTTTGCTACAATTTCATTCTAAGACTTTTCACTCTATTCATTCGTATTACTCTTTTGTGTAATTGGATAAATTTATATACGTTTATTAAGTTTTAAATATTATATTATCTCGCAAAGGACAACGTTACAGTAAACTCAACAAAAATACACAAATAAATAAGTGAATAAATAAATAAAACTAGAAGCATTTACAATCTCATATATAAAAAAAGAAAAAAACCCCCCCAAAAAAAACCATTCAATGCGAGTTACATAAGTGAATATAATAATAAATATGTGTTAATATTATATGTGAGCTTGCAATATGCCATGAAGTTTATGTGAGGGAATATTTTCCATGATTAATATTAATAATAATAATAATAATAATAATAATAATAAAAATAAAAATAATAATAATAATGTGAAACTGAAAGAATGTCTAGATATATTATCAAATTTATAGAAAAGATGATTGTGTGAAACAAATGGTCATCGTGGCTTTAAATGAAATAATATTTAAAAAAGAAAATAATTGTTAGATTCCAAATAAAAAAAAAAGATAGAAAAACAAAAAAGCAAAAGAAGGGTATCATCGTGGTAAGAACATTCTTATTATCTGACTTTACTATTTTATATATAACAATAAATTGTAAATTATTATGCAATATATTCTTAGAGAGTGAGAGAAAGAGAGATATGTCACAATTGCAATTAAATACAATTAATAGATGTGAACGAAAAAAAAAAAAAATAGAAAAAGAAAGAAAGAAAAAAAAATCAGTGTAGAATAGAGCAAACATTAAAAATATATCTTGCCTCTGTCTTATTTTGTTTTCTGTTTACCGATTATAATTATGTAATATGCACATATTCGACACAAAAAAAAAATGTGCTCATATTTTTAATTTAGTTTTCCGTTTTTTGAAGTTATACTTTTTTTTTCACGCTTTTATATTTTTAACATAAAGTCAAGTTAGATATTAAAAATAATTTACAGATCGAATAATAATAAAAACAGTTTTTTAGTTTTGTCATAATATACGATTATTATGTTAAATGATGAACTATTTAATTTTTGAACGAAGCTGCATGTGATTGAGAAAAGAAAAAAATGAAAAAAAAAAAAAAAATATATAATAATAAAGAAAAAAAAAAATACTACACGAGCATTTGAGAAAGCCTTTAAAAAGGAGAAAAAAATAAAAAGAAGAAAAAGAAATTAATTACGTGTCTCACACCGAGGATGTCAAGAAAAGGAAGATATTTTAATTTTAGAAAAATCCAGATATTTATTGTATTATTTTAACAATAAGTCGTAAATAGATGTGTTTGGATTTCAAAAAACATAGAAAATATAATAATGAAATAAAAATTGGACATTTGTGTTTATTTATTTGAACAATTGTTTCTAAACTGTCGTTTTTTTTTTTTTAATTTTAATAAAACGTTTCTTAATCGTTGAAGTCAAAAATTTAAGATGGTGCTTACTTATTTATAATATAATATAATTTTTCCTATAAAATTGTTTTCATTTATTTTATCAAGGCCATGTAATGAATCTATCAACTTATTATATATATCTTATTATAGCAATAATAATAATTGAACATCGTATAAAATATTTATATACATATATATATATATGTTACCGGCAAAGTAGGAAATGCCGGCATTGCACATAATACTTAGGCATTCTACAGAATACCAAATGCTGTTTAGATAATGTTGAGAAGGATACATTATTAGGAAATATTCGCGCACGCACGCACACACACACAACACCACAAGCGAGCCGAAAGGAGAAATGATAAAGGGAAACTCCTTTTATTGATTTTTGGGCTTTCTCGAAAAGATAAGGAGAAACAAGATACGGGCAAGGATATCGGTATCGGACCGCCGATCAGTATATTACGTATCTCTACACGTGCATTCCTCTAAAATATAAATGTTATTATGAAAAAATAATGAGAGAGAGAAGAGAGAGTGCCATTAAAAAAAACTTATTGAAAATACGTAAAGAAAGATGAAAGTTGTACAAAACAAAATTTATACCTTTTTTATTAGGGGTAACAAAATTTTCATATAAAAAATAAGAAATTTTAATTAACCTACTTATTGCAACATGATAGGCTTGAATGACATTTTGAATTACATTTCATTACATTTTTCACGCAAAGACATTTCATAGTTCGGCAATTTCTCTTACACATACATTTAACGAATTCTTGGCTGCTTCCACTGGACTGATCAATTGTAACTGACGGGAGAGAAATTTTTTGGTCAGGAATATCTTCAATTCTAAGCAAGTTTTTACTGCATAAAGTGAAGTGTGATCTCGCATATTCTTGTTTTAAAATTCCTTCAGAAGTTCCAAGTCGGTAGAAACCATTCTCTGTAACACTCATTACAACTGCCAATATACAGCGCGAATCACCTTGCTCACCCTTGTCGACGTCAGGAATAGGAACTTGCACAGTAGTTCCCACAGGAACAGTGGGAAATTCATTTTCCGAATTCATTTTCATTTTTTTCGCTTGTATTTCCAGTTTGATTTTAGAATTTATTTTATCTTCAATAGCATTTTCATTATCTTTACTAGTATGGCCACAGTAGGTTTGAATATCTTGACGACACTTTCTGCATACAAGTGTATCACTCGTTTCCTTTAAACACACACAACAGGTATCCAAAACGGAAATCTCTTCGGTAGGCATGTCTTCATCATGTTGGTTTAATTCACTCTCGACAATAATCTTATCCAAGTTTTGTAAAACAGGCTCTTTTTCTGACTTAATCTGATTAGTTTCATTTTTTTCCATTGTTTGGACGCTTTCTATTATTCTTTCTAGCTCCTCCTCTGTATTTATGTCTTTTAAAACATCTTCTGATAGAGAAGACGTTGTAAGCCCTACTTTACATTCACAGCCAAACAGAGCTTCATATGGTGTTTTTCTGATTCCAAAATGATAAGTACTATTTTTCATAAATTGAACGAAACGCAGTCCTTCACTCCAGTAGTTAGATTTGTTGTCCTGCATCCAAATACAGACCATATTTTCGATATCTTGATTCAATTTTTTGACACTATCCTGGCTTTGTGAATGGCGAGGCTTCCCATGGACGATACTTAGTGCTGGCCAAAGTTCCTTCAAGCAGGTTACCACATTACTGGCAAATTCTCTACTATTGTCAGATTGTAATATTGATGGTGCTCCAAGCAACGAGAATATCTCCACTAGGTTATTGGCTACTTCCTCAGCTTTTTCTGACATTAGAGACTTAAGAACCACAAATTGTGTGAGATGATCTTGGTACACCATAATAAATTTGTATTCTCTATCCGGCTGAGACTGAAAGTCAATAAGATCTACCTGACAACGGGAATTAAATTCGGAAATAATCGTAGATTTCCAAACAATGCTTTTTCTAATACCTTTCTTTTTTTTTTGGCAATGTTCACAAAGGTGGATATACAGTTCAAGGTCGTGACGCGTAATGTTTTTGTATTTGGTTGAAAGTTCTTTCAGCATTTTATCACGTCCTCCGTGTCCAGTAGCTAAATGAGCTTCATGAAGTATTTGAAATAACTCTGAGTCCGTGATGTAATACTGTATAGTATTGATACCTTCTTTAACAGGATAAATGAGTTTACTTTTCTTTCCTACGATTATTACATCATAACGTTTTAGTAATTTATAGTCCCTGGGTTCCTTCTTAGTAGTCGTTTTGGCATTTTGTACATCATTTATTAACTTCTGGTAAGAAATTTCGGTTAAGAAAAAACTGTTTCTTGCAGCATTAACTCGCATTTTGGACAGTTCGTCGTCAAATCGTTGTTTCATTTCTATAGGACATGATTTATTCCTCAACACTGCAGCTTCTTGCTTCTCCATTTTCATGTAGCACAGTAAATAATTAATTTTTTTTTTAACAAATTTAATATCTTAACTGCTGCGCAAATTTTTGTTCACGTGTTTTTGAGACTGTTCGTGCCACTATACTATGCGCATTTCTATAAATTGAAACTTAATACCAGTGTGTTATTATATAGGGCCCACTGTTACTTATTGTAGTAGAAGATTACTACATTTAGACGGATATTCACCATGGTAAATATGTACCTTTTGTTCCTTATTATAACGGAAGAGAACGTTTAGAACGAATGTTTCATACTTGCATTCTGTTGAAAATCATTCGAAACGAATCAGAGATGTATTTCTTACTTTGCTGGTTTCTCATTTGTCATTCTGCAGAAGTCCTAAGAAATGTGAGAAATATGATACATTCCCTACAAAGCCGGCTAGTTTTAGATATTGCCAATAATCCCTAGGCATTGTGAAGAATGCCGGATTTTCTACTTTGTTGGTAACATATACAAACGAGATAAATTAATTTAAACAAAATAATTAATGATGATTGAAAACTTATTGTATTAAATAAATTTTTATTAATCCTATGGGACCTATGACGACCACCAATCATAAAACATTTATAGGAATTGTTCTCTCTTTCATTTGTCCGAATTTCTTTTTTTTATCGTTAAATTTATTTATATTTGATTTATTCTATATTTTTTTATAAGGAGACATTGTGTCATCATTTATTCATCAAATTCTTATATATCATCGATATTATAAGATGTACTATAAATAAAATTATAAAAAGATAACATAAAAGTATAAATAATATTTGCCACTAGAGTGCGTCATGGTGCAACGGCGGTAAGGGTGACATTTAGGTTAGTATTTGAGTTGTTGTGTAATTTTAATCTTCGAATAAAAAGTGTATGCAATAAAAATTGTACTAATATGAATCTCATTTAAAATCATTATGTTTATTATATTTATGTAAGCATATAATATTAATAATAATAAAATGAAGGGAATTAGTAAACTACTTTATGTCTCATCAAAACAATGTTTGAGGAATTACATAAGACAATCTAAGATTGTAAGAACTCAAAACATTTATACTTGTCGTACATTGAGTACTACAATATCTGATATCAATAATTGTAGTGATAATATTACAGAAAGTAGAAAATATTTGCCCAAAGATGGGTTATCTTTTCGTGATTTTTTAACAAAAAGTGATGGAAATAGTGACAGTGTTTCCAATGTTCCTATCATTGAAAATGTTCCATACATTGAGAATATTCATGGTGAAAATCAGAAAGGTAAATGCAAATAAAATTTGTCTCCATACGTAAGACTTTTTCTATATAAAAATATTTATATCATTTCGACTCATCTTTCAGTCTATTTTGAAGTTCACGGTTGTGCGATGAATGTTAACGATACAGAGGTAATATGGTCAATATTAAAAAATCATGGGTATCAACTCACTAATGATGTAAAAAATGCAAATATCATTTTGCTAGTTACTTGCGCTATCAGAGATGGTGCAGAGCAAAAAATATGGAATAAGCTGTTTCATTTATGTCATATGAAAAAGAAATATAAAGGAAAGGCTCCTTTGAAAATTGGATTATTAGGTAGGTAAGGCCAACCAACAATTATAGAAGTATCATGATTTTGTATTTTCATTTTATTATTCAATAGGATGTATGGCTGAACGTTTAAAACATAAAATATTAGAAAAAGAAAAATTAGTAGACGTGATCGCTGGTCCGGACAGCTACAAGGATTTACCCAGACTTTTAGCACAGACCGATAAAGAAACTGCTATTAATGTTTTGTTATCACTTGATGAGACTTACGCAGACATTTTACCTGTTAGACTTCATTCTAATTCTGTCAGTGCATTTGTGTAATGTATCTAAAATGTTAAACTTAAATTACTCTATCCGTTCGTTAAATATGATTTATATTTTATATTATCTTATTATTATTCGTAGTTCCATAATGCGAGGATGTGACAATATGTGCACTTATTGTATAGTACCGTTTACGAGAGGAAGGGAAAGATCTAGACCAATCGATAGCATTGTTAATGAAATTCAACATTTATCGGATGAAGGGATAAAGGAAATTATTCTTTTAGGACAAAATGTAAATAGTTACAGAGATTTATCTCAATCAGATTTTTATACGCCATCAAGTTCCGAGACTAATTTAGCTAGAGGATTTAAAACAGTATATAAAAATAAAAAAGGTGGATTGAGGTTCAGCGATTTGTTAGACAAGGTATCGCAGATCAATCCTGAAATGAGGATAAGGTAAATTATTTTATGAAAGATCTTTTCTTTTATAATAAAACTATGGAAGGAATAAAATTAACTTTTCATAGATTTACATCACCACATCCAAAAGATTTTCCGGACGAGGTACTCGAATTGATAGCCGAAAGGCCTAATATTTCTAGACAATTACATTTACCCGCTCAAAGTGGAAATTCTGCTGTATTGGAAAGAATGAGACGTGGATATACGAGAGAAGCATACATAGATCTTGTACATCACGTACGCGACATTCTCCCAGATGTTGCCTTATCTAGCGATTTTATAGTTGGTTTTTGCGGGGAGACTGAAGAAGAATTTCAAGATACTTTGTCGTTGATTGAATTAGTCAAATATAACACTGCCTTTCTATTTGCGTATAGTATGAGAGAGGTAATCTATCAATTAATCAAGATATATTCGTTCATAAATATTCGTTCGAACGTATAAATATTTGTTGGTACGAATATAGAAAACGACAGCTCATCGTCGATACAAAGATGATGTTGAAGAAAGCGTTAAAGCGGATAGACTTTGTAGAATAATAGAAGTGTACAAGAAAGAGGCAGAAATGTTAAATAATATGTATATTGGTCAAAAACAGCTTGTACTCGTGGAAAGTGTAAGTTTATATTTTTTTTCTTCTCTTCTCTTTAAAGGGTATGTTACGTATAATAATAAAAATGATTTATTACATTGATAAGACATGTATGTACATTTATTTTTGGTAGGTGAGCAGGAAGTGCGATGAGAAACTTCAAGGAAGAAATAGTAAAAATCTAAGAATTTTACTTCCTTGTGCTACAATACCTATCGATGAACATTCAACTATTACAAAACAAATAGAAGCTGGCGATTATGTAGTGGTAAAAATTATCAAATCTAATTATTTGACGCTAATGGGAGATCCTCTTTATCACTCCACCATCTCTGACTTTGCTTCTAATGTTGAAATAATGAAACATCAGTGTACTCTTTAAATGTGTTGACAATAAACACATTGTATCGATTCAATTATTAGGAGCATTCAAAAATACAACGACATTGTATCAAATTGGATAATAAATTTCTATTACATTACAATAGTGTCTAACAAATAAATCGAAGACAACTTGTACATAGTATGACACACGTATGCACATGTTAGCGCAATAAATATTATTATTTATTTATGTAGATTTTTTTGATGCATGGCAACGAACAATGAATATTACACTTCTACCATACACGATCGAAGATTATTTTATAATTATATCTAGTGAGTATGACGATCGAAAACACTTATATTTGTACTCATATTACAAACAGCTAAAACGTTTCGATTTCTCGCTTTTTTATAATATAATATTTATATCAAAATATGAACACACAGGTATACATATATAATATATATATATATATAATAATAATAATATTAATAATAAAGAAATCGTTTATAATCGGTGTTATACTACAATATCAGCACGTTATTGAACAACGTATAAAAAAATAATGAAAGGTACGTGAACAAGTCTATATAAAGAAACAGAACGTAGCGTATAATTAAACTTTCGCTAATGACAGTTCACAAAATTACGAGCGAGCTCGATCTTGCGTCATCTTTGGAAATTCCACGTTCACATTTGATAAGTCTTAAAACGAAAAATTGAAAAAATAAAAAACTAAAATAAAAAGTTAAACGAGACTCGCCGTTCCTATATTAATGACAACGTTGTCTGCGCCTCTTTCATATACGGTCAAGTCATGTCCTCTTGGTTGTTCCAATAAAGCAGCCAACTGTTCTCCACTTGGGAATGTTCCTCCTTGCGAAGGTGGTAGAATAACATCGCATTCTAATTGTCCTGCATTATAAAAAATTTCAATGGTCTACCACATATATAATACGTTTCGTAAACAGAGTACTATAAGTTCTATGTTTGTGAATTTAGTTAAAAGTTACCTGAGAGAGAAGGCGAAGCACCTTTACTCGAACCGTACATACGCGTACTATATCCAGAATCATTGTGAGCATCGTGTAAGAGTGGAGTAGGACTATACACGGCACTACGCGATCTGTAAGGCATCCTTGCGATGCTGTCGTAATGAACATCTTCTTGTATAACTCCTTTGTTCGAAACATTTCCTTTAAGGGCTTCTGGTTGCTCCATGTCATCCTCTCCTTCGCTACTTTCACTGTTGTTACCTGCGTTCGTAACAATGAGATATCATTTCTCTGTTTAATGTTTGTTCAGGACGTGGAAGGAACACACTGTCGATGATAAATATCGAATAAACGGATTGATCATTTGTAGTGAATATTTAAGTATACCTTCACCTTCACCGTGCCAGGTGTTCCCTACACCACCCTGCGGTTGAATCCTTTTGTTTTGAGAACATTGACTATGTTCTGGGCTGGTAGGTTCGCTACTACCAGAACGTTGTCCACGCCAGCCATTATGCATGCCCGGTACTTGTTGAAATCTTTTGATCATCTCGTGAACGCTACGACGACTCGGCGAAGATCTCCATTCGCCTGAATTTTCTTCGCTATTTTTACGAACCGTGTTATTGTCTTCCTGGCTAATATTCGCACTTTGTTCCTGCGATAATGACGCCTGGGAGAGAAGAATTAAATGATTTTCAAGTAGAGAGAAATCAGTATAGATTTAATAGATAATCTGAAGTAGAAAGTGTATCATCAAACTTACCCGTTGTCGACGAGTCTGTTGTCTGGAACCCATAGACGGTGAAGAAGCTGCACCAAGAGGTGAGCTACGATCTTGTCTGATAACACCATCGAAAGTCTCGTTCAATCTTGCTGGAACATCAAGAACTCTCAAGGTTGACCTTGCCATACCAGATCCCGAAGGAAGATCCTTCATCGATTTGCTCAGTCTAGGAATAGCAGGAATATCCAGATCATCGAGACTACCACGATAAACAGGAGTCTCTCCAGGTATTTCAAAGCTTCTATCCTGTGGTCTGTCATCGAGCAAATCCTCGAGAGATCTAGCACGAGTAGGAGGAATTTGATCGTCAACGTTAGACGTTCTCGCTGGTCTCTCGCTGTGTCTACCTCTACCGCCGCGTGACAATCTCTGCTGAAGATGTTGATGTCTTTCATCGCAACGTGCTCTTTCGGCTGCCACGCAACGTGTAAGCTCAGAAATCTGTCCGCGAGTTCTTCTCTCAAGATTAGCCACTTTCAAATCCAATCTTTCATGAGCTTGATCTATATGAGCTTTTAATTCAGCTTTATCTCGTTCTAATTTAGCTTCCATATGCCTGAAGAAGGGTGCACAATAACAAGTATAGCCAACACCAACCGGACCCTTTCTTATATTACCAGCCAAGTCCAAATAATATTGTTCACCCCTTCCTAAAGGATCAGGTGGCAAGGAATCTAATCTTGGTTGTGGAAAAGCGTCCGGATCCGGGTAATAATGGCAACCATAAGGCGACCATTGTCTTCCCATCACAGCTTTCTCGAAATGTACTCTATGAGTTTTTCCACCACTACCTGAACTACCACCCTTGTGTTTCTTCTTTTCCTTTTTAATTATACAACCATCCCTACTACCACTTGTACCGCTACCAGTTTTCTCCCGTTTCTTCTCGTTTCTATCGCACTTAGTTGGTGCAACAGTACCACCACCTATACCACCACCACCACCACTACCAACACCACCAATACCACCAACACTACTACTAACATTAGCTACGTCGACCTTGTCGTTGTTACACGATTCCTCGTCGCGACTCTTGCTACGGGCTCTACTCTTGCTCCTTGCTTTACCGATTATCTCGAGTATCTCTGTCAGGTTTTTGCGACGAGCTATATCCTTCGCCGTTTCGCCCTGCTTGTTTCTCAACGTCCTGTCGCAACCGGCTTCGAGAAGTATCCTCGTCAATTTTCTACGTCCCATAGCTGCTGCGATGTGAAGTGCCGTGTCACCGTTCTGTATTCGTTTAACAAAATAAAATATACATTAATATGTATCAAGAATTTAATATACCTTCTTTATTGACACATTAAAAATCGCACTGATCTCATTGCACAAGTTGAATTATTATTTTAAACTCGTTGTGTGTCGATTGATTTTTAATTTTCATTTCTCTCTTATACGATTATTTTAATAATTTATTTATATTAAATTATTATTTTTTTAATTGTGTAAAATATATAATATATTTTTGTTAAAGATAAATCATTTGTAGGTTTTTAATGTTATAATTCGAAAGAATTTTTATTATATCGTTCGCGTATCTGCCGAAAATACTTTTTCTTTTTTTTATTACATTCATTAGATATTAATTTACTTTAATCAAATTTTGCTATTAAATAAAGAGGCACGCAAATTTGTCTCACAATATAAGATTATTATTATTAATATTAATTGTAAATAATAAATGTAGGTGTGTTAATTATGAAGCTGGATCGAAAGTTTATTTTATTCGAGTATTAAAGAAAAAAAACGATATACGATTTAAGTTCATTTTATAAGTTTTATTGTTTTCAATTAAATTGAAAGTGTTAATATAAAACTTACTTTATTTTGTTCAGAGACTCTGCAAAGTGCTGAAATTAAGATACGCGTAACACCTGCGTGACCATATCGTGCGGATGTATGAAGTGGGGTATCTCCGTACTAAAAATAAAACAAAACAAAATTATATATATAATGTATGCATACACACATATATATGAAAATAGAATAAAATTAAAATTATCCAGATATTATATTATATATACCGAAGAGGAAGATAGTTGCTTGAGTCGTTAAACCGGATGGGCCCAAGCTCATATGAATGTTCGCTACAACTTAATGATCAAGATGAACGAATCTAATAAATGATTAATTGAGTATACGATTATACGAAAATTAATGACGATAGAAGAAGATGTATGAAATTTATTCGAATTATTTTCATTCCAATGTTATCGAGAAAACTTGGTAAAATTAATTAATAACTCGTTGTGCGAACGCATTTTTTTTAGAGATCTAACAATATTTTTTCAAAAATAAAATTTATAAATAATTCTTTAATTCCTCTCTCAATTAACAAAAACAACTACAACAATAATAATAATAATAATCACAAAGAATAAATATTAATGAAAAATAAAATTGGTAAAAATGAATCTAGTTTAACAAAACAGAAAAAAATTCAAATATCAATACAAGCCACGCACTTGGTTGCATAGGACAAAATTTTGCATGAAATATTTAATTAGAAAAAATAAAACAAAAATAATAGGAACGGATTGTATAACTAATACATTTGTGTGTGGTTTAATTTGATGATAAATAATAATAATAATAATAATTTTGTTTAATAAGTTACATTGTTCTGAAGATCGGGATTACATCCAGCAAGAAGAAGTTCTCGACAGCTTTGGTTATGGCCATTTTGACAAGCGAGGTGAAGCGGCGCAAATCCAGCTAAATTCCTCGCGTGCAAAGGTGCGCGTTGAGTCCCGAGGGCTTTTGCCAAAGCAGCAACAGTCCTGCTGTATCCTCGCCAGGAGGCTTCGTGCAAGGCCGAGTTTCCATGCTGAAAAACGTTGCATGCAAATTTTCTCATATAATAACATTTATAAACGTTCCCCCTTCTCCCCCCCCCCCCCTTCCGCTTCATAGCTAACACGAAATATTCTAATCTATGAGTAGATCGATCGTCTTGCGCTAATTTTTTTTATTTATTTATTTTTGTTGTTGTTGACCAGCATAGTCGAGACACCCACCCCTTCTTTTTTTTTTAGCCCGAAGGGGGTCAGAAAACATGACCCGGATAGAATTAATTTTTATTTCTTTGATATTGTTGCTTTTGTTCGCGCGCATTGCATGTGTTTAAATATCAGATTAAATATCTTTATTCGTGAGAAATAAAGATTAGATTAAAAAATGTTTGGATTAATCGGGTAATGGGATTTAGAAAAACAATTATTTCGAAATTTTTGAATACAATGGAATTTTAAGTATTCAACGTGATCTAATAATATTCGAAAATTATACTATTAGTTATCTATTCGATTATATTATTCGGACAATATGTATATAAACTTTTTCAACAAACTTATATAATACATTTAATTATCATAATATTTAATTACTATATCATAAATTTCGTTGTGTAAAATTTGAAAGCAACGTTAAATGCAATTGTACGTAGTTACGTCATTAATATTCACTATAAGTTTGTACCCCCCCCCCCCCTTAACAGTCCAAGGATTCATTTTAATTTATCTTTTTATTACGACAAATTTCAATCGTGGCTATAAAAAAAGAAAAGTAAAGAAAATAAAACAAAACAAAACGAGATAGAAATTTCAACAAATTTTATATCGATAGTTATTATCGTGATAACACGATAAAAGAAAAATAAAAGAAAGAAATTATAATAAGCCTTCCTCCTCCTTCTGGTTGAAAGTAACTTCGGACGGTGTTAAAAGCGCCAGTAGATTTATGCAAATAATAGATCCCTTTTACTATTTTAACTTAGGTTGGAAGAGAGGATAACAGCAGCCAACAAGCTCGTCATAAAATACGGCCACGGTTATATACTCGTACTAAAATCAAGAGTTTCGTTTACGAGTGCGTTGTTATCGATGCTTGAACCTTACACACACACACACATATGCACACACACACATAATACATACATTATCTTTCTCTCTTTCTCATTCTCTTTCTCATTCTTTTCCTCCCCCCTTTTTTTTAACTTTCAATGGAGTGGCTTGAGTTTAATCATGTTCTGCGGACGTTATCAGCGTACATCATGGTCATCCATTCAGAGGGTAATTTATCACGGAGTGTCTCCTTCGTAAAACAGCGTCATAGGTTGGTTGGTTTGTACGTTACGAACCGGTTGCAGGTGAAAACGACCCCGATGCTGCTGGTCGTACGTGTCACCCTGGGGTTAACGATGATTCTTCTCTCTTTCTCTCTCTCTCTCTCAGTCTCTCAAGGCAAAGGGAATCAACTGACATGAGAAAGAGAGAAACTGAGATTATCTTTTTCTTTTTTTTTTTTGCTTGCACCATAGCTACCCCGCTAAACGAAAGGGATTTTACTATCAAGTATCGTTCAATGTTATTTTAAGGATTATTCAACTCCATTATACACGCTGCTTTTTTTCTCATACCTGTCTCTCTATTGGTTTGTATGTATGTATGTATGTATGTATGTATGGGTTGTGTTTGTAATAAGAAATAACTTTGTAATTAGAAATAACTTCGATTGCTAGTAACCGATCATTTGAGATTACTCGAGACACAACACCAATGTTAGTGAAAACGTATCCCTCCCTCCTCCCTTTAATGATATTCCTGACCGTTATCATCCTCACATAGAATTTTCTCATCTTCCTTAGTCATTTATCAAGCGGTGTCTTTGAATAAAACAACGTCGTATAATCGAACACACACAGTCATTTCAGAATATTTTTATATTATATTTTATTATACTTCTTGCTTATATTATATAAGAAAAAGAAAATATTCAAGATATTGACGATCTTATTTTTAAACGGTATACATAAGATAAAAAATAAAGAAACAATAATATAAGTTGTTTATACTCATGATAAATGTGAAATTCGTATTATCGTGTGGAAAATAATTAATTTATTCGTTTAGTATTATATGGGGTCATAGTGTTATTTAAAATCGTACACGTTGATGTAATAAAAGGAATATCCTGGGTGTTTTCATGTCTTATAATAATTGGTCGTTAATTTATTGTTAAGTATTGGAGTTAATTTAATACTCATTAAAGTATATTTATTTAAACATGACATATATATTAAACAATTTCGATTTGATATTATATTGGATGAAAATAATCAATTGAAAGTAATCATTGGTCAGGAACGTTAAAACAACAAAAAAATGTATTATTAGTTTAAACAATTCAATCTATTAATAAAATACGTTAGAACGTGCGATGTAATTAAAATGATTGTTAATTAATCGAAAAAAGCGTGTATTGTTGTTTAAAAGCACGGTTTATACGTTCGATGTATTTTCCTCTTCGAAATCAAACAATAAACTGACTCGTATATCCTCTGCGCAAGTACTTTTATTAAACGTTGTTTATACGATCTTCCGAATAAGGAAATTGTATTTATTACGTATATTATTGTCGTTATACACATGCGCAACCTTCGGAAAGTTGTATAAATAATATTGAATAAAAGAACTTTCAAAGGGAACAACGTATCAGTCTAACGGAAGATTCCGAAGAGGAAGGAACATCTAAAAGGTAAATCTAGATTTTTAGATTACAATATATATTTTTTTCGATTAATTAACAATCAATTAAGGTATGTTACACCTTTATTCATTTTTTCATAAATAAATGCATCTCGTAGTAATTATTTATTCGACATATCTTATCATACATACATACATACATACGTATGTACAATACATAGATACATATACAAATCACACTACTACACTGGAACTTTCCATAATTTCGTTCAAGTGTCGATCGATTGTGAATTTAATCCGACTCTCTTTTTCTATTCTTTCTTCTATGTTCACACACTTCAAAAATTTGGAAAGTAACTGGTCAAGTTAGCCAATTATTTAATTATAATTAACATTCCTTTTTATCTTTTTTTCTATTTTTTATAAAACAATTTGTGTGTGTGTGATACATTCTTAATTTTATATCAACGTTCAAATACTTATATCAAAAATATCGAATCGTATTATATAACTGTTCAAGTCAGTCGATCATTTAACAATGATTAACATTCCTTTTATATCTTTTTTTTTTATAAAATAATTTTGATATATTTTTAAGTTTATGTATGTGTTCAAATTCTTATATAAAAAATACCGAATTGAATTATATAACTGTTCAAGTCAGTCGATCATTTAACAATAATTAACATCCCTTTTATATCTTTTTTTTTTATAAAACAATCTTGATATATTTTTAAGTTTATGTATGTGTTCAAATTCTTATATCAAAAATATCGAATTGTATTATATAACTGTTCAAGTTAATTGATCATTTAACAAAAATTAACATCCCTTTTGTATCATTTTTTTCATTTTTTATAAAACAATTTTAATTTATTCTTACTTTTATATTAGCATCCAAATTCTTATATCAAAAATACCGAATTGTATTATATAACTGTTCAAGTTAATCGATCATTTAACAATAATTAACATCCCTTCTATATCTGTTTTTCTATTTTTTTTATAAAACAATCTAAATTTATATTTTTACTTTTATATTAACGTTTAACTTCTTATATCAAAACTACTGAATCGTATATATATATATATATATAACAGAAACTAGAATAAAACGTAAGTACATTGAGTGAAAGATAGAATCAAGGGATAGGAGGAGTAGTAGTTCCTTTAAGCTGTCGATCTTTCACGAAGGGCAAGTAATCCTTTCCTTCGATGGTTAGAGATCGTTTCTAAAGTTTTCATTGACTCTGATATCTCCTGGCACTCGTCACGATCATGGATCTTCCTACTACTCCATGGATAAGAAGGAAAGTCTAATGGAGACGTGAATACTGAAAGAAGGACTTGGTTCACTTGGAAATACTTGAAAGGGCCGGAGCCCTTTCTTCTTATCGTGGGCGGCTCCCGTGTTGTTGTTGGTAGGTAGATAGGTAACGTTCTGTACTACACATCACGAAACGTCTATTCAATTTAGATCAGCCAACCCTTTTTTTTTTCTTCAAGGGTTACCCCTTTCACTCCTTTTCTTTTCCCCATTTTTTTTTTCTTTTTTCTTTTTTTATTTCATTTTTATTTTCGTTTCTCGATACCTATCGACTTAAGAAAAGAGACAGGAGAAAGAAAAAAGGGTAGGAAGAGGTGGGGGGGGGGAGGGGGAGGGGGAATAGAAAAAGGGATAGGAAGAGAAGTAAAACACGTAACTCTTGCTAAGAGATACGCCCTTTTCTGTGTACTTGCCAAGAGACATTTGCTTCGTTAGCATTCGAAAAAGATATTATCAATACCGAATCCATTTACTTTGTTGGACTACTTAACTTCTTCTTCTTCTTCTTCTTTTTCTTCTTCTTCTTCTTCTTCTTACAAATTACGAATCCTTTGAACGGTCTATCTTTCTTTCTTTCTTTCTTTCTTCCTTGGGTAATCAGAAATACCACAAAGTTCTTATCTTTTATCCGAGCTCAATACTTAACGCGATAGAGGAATACGTTTATTATTGTGTCAAGGATTTTTCAAATTAGAATCGTAAATGACAAAATATTAATGATTCATTTTATTACTATATTTTTGTATTCAAATGATTTATTGTATATTATTGAGTTTAATCGTAAAACAAATTGTTATATTTTACTTTTTGATTTATAAATTAGTCTACTTTCAAAACTCTACCGAACAAATGAATTTTATTAGTATATTTTTTAATTCAAATGATTTATATTATTGAATTTAATCGTAAAACAAATTGTTACATTTAATTCTTTGACTTACAAATTAGTCCACTTTCAAAAGCTACCCATGCATATTACATTCGAAATACTTAACATTTTTTATATAGATCAAA